ACTTAGAACAAATATTTTTTACGACGTCCTTAAAAGTCCTTGAGTCCCTAAAATTATTTGAAATTTAGAAACGATATAAAAAAACTTTTGTATTATACCAAAAAAAAGCATTATTTGAATAACTTTTGAACGGAGTATAGGATCCAAGCAAATTTGTGTGTCATTCGACGGGATTTTAAAATAAAATTTAAACTGTGTTAAAAAAGTGTAATATTTTACCAACCCAAGCTCAGGATGTCCACTTAAAAAAATTTTAGTATGTCATTTTCACCGCCCTTTCTCCTTAACCAATAAATTTCCCTAAAGTCTAGGTATGATATTCATATTTATTTAGCGATACCTTTCGATTTGTGAATTGCGGCTATGCACTCCTATGCACACGCTTTGGGTGCGCATCGTCACTACATGTTCTGTAGTTCATACACTTATAGAAATTTCACCTTTAAATCCAGTAAAATCACCTTTGAATATTCGCCAAGAATAAGAAAATTTCATTCTTAAAAAAAGGTGATTCCTTTCCTTAAACAAAAAATGCAGCTCTTAAACCAAGAAATCTTATTTATAAAACAAAGAAATAAAATTCTTTAAGTTAATAAGAAGTTAAGTTATTAATATTATTTCTTAAATCAAGAATCAATATTTCTTAAAATTAGAAAAAATATTTTTGAAACAAGAAAAATTATTTCTTAAGACAAAAATTATATTTCTTAAAAATGAGATAAATTCTCCGAGTTCTGCCAGGGGAAGCGCCGCGAAACGAACAGTATTTGTATGAAATCGCAGTCGGCGACAGACACATATTGACAAGCTTCGCCGTGCAAGCGCGAGACGAGAACGAACGGACAAATCCATGTTCGTTGTGTGGTAGACAAACCCACCCCGCTAGCTAGCAAACATAGGGGGAAGATGATATGGATAAACATGATTTCTAAAATTCACATTAGAACATTTTAATACACAAATAATACCAAAATTTTAAAATAACTCACATTTTTATTTGGTCGTCTGCGAGAATCGAACCTGGGCCTTATGCGCGGGAGTTGGACATTGTAACACTAGGCTATGTTCGCACTCAAAGAATGAGTTGTTTCGTCAGCTTGGACGAGTTAAAAAAAAACAAAACAATCAAAATACAATTAAATCATACATTTTTACAGATGGCTTATAATCTGATACTATCTATTCAAAAAGTGTTTATTTTTATGTTTCAAAAGTAAAAAGTTATGATCGTTTTATATAATTTCCTAAAGTTTCCTAAAGTTTAGCTAAGCACATTAGGACACGTGAGTGTTTTCCCTTTTCCATCAAATACAAAAAAGAGGTGAGTTTGAAAAAAAGAAAAAAGAACTGCTCAGATTTCTGGTCAGATAACTAAGCCGCCAGGCTACCATTAAGCGGCTGAGTTAAAGGTAGCTTTTTTATTGTTGAGGGATACTTCTTTCTTGATCTCAAAGGCGATTTCTCCTTTGAACGTTGCATCGATTTGTGCTCCTCACTCAAAAAAAATCGACCGGTATTTTAAAATTAAAATTTTTTTTTTTTTAAATCAAAATGGTGTGATTTAAGAGGGAGAAGCATGTTATTTTTCTGAGACTAAAGTCGATTTTTTCATGATTGACGTGCGTAGTTTTCCAAAAATTATGGCGATTTTTCGTTTATAAATTGATTTTAGAAAGTTCTATGAAGACAAAATTGTTATTTTTTTTTTACATTTCTAGCTTGGTCTAGCTGGTAATTGCGTCAGGCCACTAAACTATTGTGCAAAAGATCAAAAGTTGAAATCCATGTCGTGGCAAGTTCAAAATTAAAATTTGTTTAATTTTGGTTTTTGGTATTTTTACTTCTCCTATTTGTATTCATTTTTTTGTCGTTCTATTAAACAAGTTGCCAAAAACGTTATAAAAAACCGTTTAAATTGAAGGAAATATACTTGATTGCCCTCCCATTGGTTGAGAATACTTGTGCATTGTGAGTTTAAATAAAAGTTTTTTTCTGTATGTAAAATACATTACAAAATGTAAATATTTAATAAAATTAAATTTATGATAAATAACCTATTTTTTCAGAAATATTTCCTATTAAAATAGGAAAGGCTTGGTAGTTAAATGAAAACAAAAACGCCCCTGTGTTTTTTTTCAGAAAACTTTACTTTACTTTAAATAAATATGTACAAATTTCTGCGTGCTTATGCTGACATTGCTGAAAACGGAAATTATTTTCTAAAAATTATGATTTAGAAAAAAATTTTTAAAACTCAGAAATGATTTTCCATGTTTTATAATTTTTATACCCTGGCAGAGGGTATTATAATTTCAGTCCGAAGTTTGCGACGCAGTGAAGAAGACTATCGAGTATTTATGTACAGTGGCTCACAGCTTATTTCAACCAGCAACCAAAAAAAACTTATACAGCCTATAAAAGCTAAACCAAACAAGATATGAACAAAATTTAAATGCACGATCTTTTCGTAATGGTTATATTTATTAGTTTGTAACTTCATATAATTTTCATAATTTTGTAAATATTTTTAATTTAATTAAGAACAAAAAATCAACAAAAAAAAGGCCACAGCTTATTTCAACCACCTACTTTGCTGCTGTGTAAATCACCGTTCCTTTTAATATAACGGTTCTTTTTTTCTATGCTTTGGTATTTATATTCGAAGTTCGTTTAAATTTAGTCACGTGAAATTAGTAAGAAGATCACTCAGTCATAATTAATTTGCCAAAATGGGGCCGCGTACGACTTTGGATCAGCGAGAACTTGTTCTAAAACATTTAAAAACGGACATTCGCGCAGGAATATTGCTGAAATGGTTGGGCTGAGGATGGACAATCCAGAGCATCATCTACCGCTTTGTACACGAGAATAGAACGCACGATAAGCCAAGAAATGCTCCAAATAAAATTTTCAATCAGATGGACGAACGCTTTATTGTCCGGAAAATTCGGGAAAACCAAAAATATCATCTCCGAAAATTGCCACTGAAGTAGAAGCAGAGTTAGGAAAGAGTTGCCACCCAGAAACAATTCGTCGAGTACTCCGAAACCAGGGGTATAATGGTAGAATAGCTCGGAAGAAGCCGTTCATTAGCACTAAGAACATCAATGCCCGATTAAAATTTGCTAAAGAGCACTTGGGAAAGGATTCTGCTTTTGGAACACCGTTATATTTGCTGACGAGTCGAAGTTCAACATTTTTGGCTCAGATGGAGCCACCTATGTGTGGCGTAAGCCTAATACAGAGCTGCAAACAAAAAATTTAAAAGCCACAGTAAAGCACGGCGGAGGAAGTGTTATGGTTTGGGCCTGTATGGCGGCGTCAGGAGTTGGAAACTTGGCGTTCATTGATACTACAATGGATAAACATCATTACCTTGATATTTTGAGGTCCAATTTGCACGATAGCGCGGACAAGCTGGGAATTCGTGAAGATTTTCGGTTTTACCAAGATAATGACCCGAAACACAAGTCGGGAATTGTACAAACCTGGCTGGTTTGGAATTGTCCACATGTTGAGCAACCGCCGGCACAGTCACCTGACATGAACGTTATCGAAAATTTGTGGGCTATTTTAGATGCAAACATCCGTAAACGGAAAATTTTGAACAAATCGGACCTAAAAACGGCATTGGTTGAGGAATGGTCCAAAATCGGGCCAGAAGTCACCCAAAAGTTGGTCGATTCAATTCCAAAACGTTTAAAAATGGTCATTGACAACAAAGGAGGGCATACAAAATACTAAAAAATTATTAAATAGCTATAATCATTACATATAAATTAATCTAGCTAACTGGTTGAAATAAGCTGTGGCCTTTTCTTTTGTTGATTTTTTGTTCTTAATTAAATTAAAAATATTTACAAAATTATGAAAATTATATGAAGTTACAAACTAATAAATATAACCATTACAAAAAGATCGTGCATTTAAATTTTGTTCATATCTTGTTTGGTCTAGCTTTTATAGGCTGTATAAGTTTTTTTTGGTTGCTGGTTGAAATAAGCTGTGAGCCACTGTAGCTAATCATCATATCTTCAATGTTTTTATATACGTATACGCAAGTAAATGATAATTTTAATGTTTTCAAGAATATTTAATTTTTTAATAGCCAGGGTATATAAACTTCGGCTTACCGAAGTTTGCTTTTTTTTTTGTTTTTTTTTAAACGTAGATAAAAGAAAACATTTTCTAAAAATTATGTTTTAAAAGAATTTGTAAAGCTCAGAAATGATTTCCCATATTTTATAAATTTTTTCTTAAATATAGAAAAAAGAAAATTTTGTGTTGTGTGTTATTTTATTTGCATCTGAAAAAGTTATAGCCGTTTTCAGCAATGTCAGTATAAACACGCAGATTTGTACTTATTTAGTTCTTCATGTACTTACTTTAATTTTTCTGTATTCGACATCGGATATCAGTCAATTTTTAAACAACTCAATTTTTGTTAATAGAAAAATTTCGCCTTAAATTTTCGAAACTTTATTTCTGTAATTTAGGAAAAATCACAAATTCAAAGGAGATTTTCTACGTCTAAGAAAACAAATTTTATAAGTGTACCTATAGGTATAGTTGTGGTATCGGGGTTGTTTTAAGAATCCTGAAACGTTTTACATATATAAACTTAACGATGGTTTCCTTTAATTTAAAATGGCATAAAAATACAAAATTTAATAATAGACCCGGGGTATGTACAATTTTACAAAATTTTAAAATTAATAAATTATACATATCGGTATAAACTCAAAAACACTCTTTTGATTTTTTAAGCAAATCTCCTTTAAATTCGTGTGATCTTCTTTTCTATTTGTGATTTGAGCTTTTGTGAGCTAAACTCGGCGAACTTGCTCTGAGATCTTGATCAAGTTGGCTGCTGCAATTTCTTGCGCTCTCTGAGCCATGTCATGATTCACTGAGCCATTCCCTTCCCTGACTCGTTCGTAAGCTCGTTTTGCAGTTTTTTCTGTTTTAAACATTTTATATAGTCTTACGTATGAAGCTACTGCTTCAGTTTGGTGCTTAAACGCGTTGCGCGTACATCATAAAGCTGAAATCAGTTCAGCTGTTGTAGTTTTCATTTAGTATACATACATACATACAAACAAGAGAAAATATTGACTTGTGTTGTGATTATCCTGCCTCAAATATACTTACACATTTTACAATATTTCGCAAAGTAAAGGTGCTCAGTGAATTAAACAAAAGTTTTAACGTTTCAAATTTAAATGCAGGCCATGGAGAGCAAGGAATTTAATCAGACTTTTTTTTTGTTCCTGGCTATTATTATATTTTCTGATTTTCCTGAAACCTCTGCAGTACGTGTTGGCAACTCTCAGCTAAAACAACGTATAAAAGGTAAAGAACCCCCAATAAATTATTCATCCAATTACTAAATTGAATTAGGTTTGTAAAGCTTAGAAATGTGAATGAGTTCACAGGTAAATTACTCTGGCAAACTTACATTCACTTTGGCGACTAGTTGAGAGAATGCTTCAATTAAGACAGCTCGTCATAATAACCGGTACATAGTTACAAAACACAAAAAAAGTAGGACCAGTAATGTTTCCCAAAACCTCTTATACCCTGTAAATATCAAATAAAAATAGTTTTGGTCCAGGAAGTTACAAAAATACGTGTTTCTTTGTATCCCCCTCTACTTAATTTCACAAATTTTCTTTTTTATTTTGCTTAAAAACCGGAAGTTCCCTATTGGACTATTTATAAACATAGGAATTAAAAGACAACTAGTTTAAGTTTAACAACTAATATATAATTCTTTTTAGTAAAATTTAGTGTTAATAACAGCACACAGAGTTCATTCTTGTGGACATTTCCCTTAAATTAATTTTTTTTACATGATCATCATTTTGTATATAATTAGGCGAAAATAAATAATATGGTCTTATAACATATTAATGTTTTTACATGTAACAACATTATTTTAGACAATGGCAACTTTGCTTTACGTCTAGATAAGAGTGAAAGCTGTTGTTTACACACTTAATTAAGAGCAGAACTAAATCATATAAAAAATTCTTTTAATGTGAAAATTTCATATAAATACTGTGGTCTAGATATCTAAGTTTTTTTTAAATGATTCTATGCTATGGTTAATAGATTATTTTACAAGACTAAGATTGCTTTAATAAAAGGTAGTCCTTAACATTCTTAGATTCTGGCCATGTATGAGTGGGTCAGTTTCAAGTCGGAAACCTTTATAATTTCATTGTTTGTTCTGCTGTTAGAATATACTCAACTTAAATAAATTACTCCATCTGATAAATCAGTAAAGTTTAACACTTCATCATTTATTGGCTTTTAAAAATTTTATAAAAACTTTTGCAATTACTTTAATTATAACATAAAATTTTACGAAATATCCTAAGCAAAGAAAAGTTTAATATTGACAACAAAAATGTATTTCGGTTTGCTGACGATCAGACAATTTTATTTTGATAAAAAAAACATCTTTTTTGAATTACCTTAAATTTGTCTATAAATAAGAAAAAAATAAATAACAAAGACTTATAAATATTTATGTTTTTACATATAATAACACCAATTTAAACAACGAAAAAAAGCATAATAACTTCCCGAAGAACTTTTGTACTACTACTATATTGGAAAGCGTTTCCGTCCGTATAAAGTATATATGTTCTTTATCAGAATCTAGTAGTTTTAGTAGTTCCACGCCCGCTCTAACGCCCACAAATCTTGACCTTAGGTGTTGGACTCTGTGTCCCATCGGCAGACACAAGAATTTCTAAATTCGATATTATGTAATATTATGGAAGTTATTGGGTTATGAACTCCCCTACCTTCCCCTTCTGCCGATCTCGGCCGGGTCCTTGCCGCCACTCTATCGCTGCTCGGCCCGTGCTCGGCCACTGCTCTGCCTGTAATCGCTGCAGTTGAGAGACAGAACGAAAGAACTGTTAGCTGGAGGTGAGGTGCTGCACGCACTTAGCTTTTAATTTTGGCTATGCAGTTCGACAGAGGGCGCCACCTAATCTTCGATTGTTTTGTTAGGGAATACTTAGTTTGAAGTTTGTTGGCTGAGTAACGGGTATCTAATAATCTGTCTTGTTTGAATTTTTTTTTTTGGGTTCCAAATATGTTAGCTATAAAAGCATGCTCTACAATTTTTTGTTACCAAGTCAAGGAGTATTTTGAGCTCAACCACTTGATTTTCTACTTTATTTTAACATATATTATATGGTTTTAAAGTGTGCGATCAATTTTGCCTTCGGTCATATTTTGTGCTGCACTATATTATCACTCTTACTTTACTAGTGAGTAGTGTCTAGTGTGGTCATAAATTTGAAGTCAACATAAGCTGCAAGTTAATGCAAGCTGTAAAACAAACTAACTTGAGATTGCTAAGAATAAATGCCATGAAAATAATACTTTCATGTCAACCCTTTCCAATCTGCGCAAACTTTAACTTTTATTTAAAATTGACAGAGATTTCTACTGTAAGAATACTTGGTGGATTTCACTGGCTTAAATCAAATCAAATCTTAAATTTCCGGTAAAGTTGGACTCCCTGATTTAGAAACTGACATTCAAATTTGTTGCATGGCACCATTTTTTTAAGACTGTAAATTAAGTTTTTCACCTATTTCCCTGCCTATTTTAATTTTTATCTCCAGTTCTGCTTAACCGATCATCATCGGTAGCTTATTTTACTACAAATATAAAATTCTTCAACTTTTTCATACGTGTTACAAGGATAGGTTTTCTAATATAACTTCTCTAACTTTCTTTTTTTTTTGTGTAAATGGTTTAAAAATTCTAAATCAAGTTTTTAATTTTATTAAAATCAGAAAACGATACCATACAACTGCAATAAGAACGATAAAATAATTGAAGTGAATCATTAAAGCTTCAATGGTTTTAATTGGATACTATTATATCGAAATTTAGAAGTTTTATTTTTAAAATTTATTGTTTCTAACCAATCAAATAGACCAACCAAACAAACCAATATTTGTAACATATATTAGAAAGTTAAAGACATTATATTTGTAGTGAAATACGCTATAGATGACCGAAATCGGTTAGGCAGAACTGGAGATAAAAAATAAAAAAGGCATGAAAACAGTTCAAAACGTTTTTTTCACTTTAAGTTTGATATTCTAAATCAGTGAGTTCAACTGTACCGGAAATTCAAGGTTTTTTTCTCTAAAGGACTTTTCGACTTAAATTTGTAAGCCACCAGAAATCCGGTTTTCTTGCTCAAATCTGGCAAAATAGATTAAATTATAACTGATATAGTTGATCCTTTCGAATTCCAATTATTTGATAAAAGCTGTACCTGAATCTGTAAATTTGTTTAGCAATGTCTCATTTTAGAAAAAGGTCGTTGAATTTTGAAATGAATTCAAATTGGTTCACTGGAGGATCAAAAAGGATTTTAAAAAAGAAATTACAAAATTAATTTTTTTTTGTTATTCTAATTTTTTTTTGCAAGATATTGAATAATTTGCAATAAAACTTTGTTTTGCTCTGTAACCGTGTCAAGAATTGTCGTTCATCTCAATCACTTTCATTAGATACACATAAAAACGAAACCTACATAGGTATCTTACAATATACACCACATGACGCAATTATGTGTAATTAGAAATCCAAAATACATATGTACATACTGAAAGTCCAAAATGTGTCCTAAAAAGTTTATTTATAAGTGTTTGAGTGCCGATTCAAGTTTTTATGTTGCAAAAATCGTAACTTTTTCAGTAATGAGACAGTTGAGTACTTGAAAAAGCATTAGGTAGATGCTTACTAATAAATTACGAAGGAATTAATCATTAATCATTTTTTAACGTTTTTTTTTTAAATCGTACAAGCAATAACAATGAAATACATTTTTAGAAACACAAAATACTATACTATTTTTTCCTCAAGTTTTTGTTCTACGGCGGTACTGAACGTTCTCAGAGAAAATGTAATTTATGATTATCTCAATAACGAGTGATTAAGAGTATTGTATATTTCGAGTTTTCTAACAAAAGCCCCAGCATTTTTATACAATATGCCAAACCTAAAAATAACTTGGGGTTGTAATAGGTAACAGTAATAGTGGTAAATTGACCTTCCTTTGTATGTTTGTATGTATGTTTCCTTATATCTTTAAAATTATCATTCTCTTGATGCAGTTGAGAAAAAAAATAAACGGCATTTTTAAATAATATGAATAAGTATAATTAAATAACTTCAACGAAAAAATATTTCTTAGGACTTATCAAGTTTCAAACCGGTCTGCAACGGGTATTAAATGGTCCAGCTTAAAAGTATGACTGATTCAAGGCAACTTTAAGCTTCAAATTTGAATACTAATGTATTTTTATATACAACTTAAGAGACGTGGCTCCTATGTATGTACATACCTGCATTAGAAATTATCATTTTAATGTTCAAGATTGAAAGAAAACTTAAACATGAAACTTAAGTTGTATGTTTTTTTTTTTTGTGTACATAGGTAAATACTTTCTAAACCATTGCGACTTTGTATGTAGCTACATGATGACAGGTGTATGTATTTAAATTCAAAAAAAAAAATGTCAAAAGCTTGTCTCGCAAAATAATACAGCGAATTAAAATTTTAAAAACACTTGGCCATTTGTTAATTAAATACATACGTACATATGTGCATATGTATTTGCAAGCCCAAAAAGTGTGCCAAAGCCTGTCGGATCACTCCAACTATTTTTTTAAAACCAAATATGTATGCATGAGCATGTATTTACCATGTTTTCCTTTTCCAGAGGGTATTATTATTTAATTCAGATGTTTGCAGCCAAATATTTCCCACCTCATGGCTCGTTCTTTTACAAACCAAGCAACTTATGACACGGCATATAACATAAAGTATTGATATTTTTTTGGAATTTTAAAATATATTTTTAGTTTCTTCAAAAATCAAAAATTTATATCAATATCGTATTGTATTTTCTTTTCTGTACGCCAATATTTTCATAGCAAGTAAGTTTAACAACTACCCATTAGCTGTTTAGAAAATATTCTAGTTGCAAATCACTAAAATCATTTTATGTAGATCGCCCCTATTAATTCTTGACTATTTGGCTCAAAAAAAATAAAGTAGTCAAAATAACTTTAAAATCGAGACTTAGTTGAGGAGCAAGTTTTCTGGTTAACTCTGAAACTGTATCTGTAAATCATATATGTACATACAGAAACAGTTAAGTGTATTAAGTGTCCATGCCTTGTATCGAGCTCTCTTTGCAGCTCAACGAAATGGAACAGAAAAACTAGTTGACGACGACCGACAAGAAAACTACTAATTTTGCTACATACATATAAAGTTGCTCTGGAACTTTTTTTTGAAAAAA